AAAGGTTAAAGTTTTGAAAAAATAGGTCAAACTCCTAGGTCAAGGTCAAACAGTCAAAATCTTTGGTATCCAATGAAAGGTCTTGTCATAAGGATTAAATATGTGAAGTATGAAAGCCCTAGCCCAAACCCTTCAAAATGTATGGTCAAAGTTTGTTTTATAAAAGTAGGTCAAACTCGAAGGTCAAAGGGTCAAAATTCTTGTGATCCAATGAAAGGTCTTGTCACAAGGATTAAATATGTGAAGTATGAAAGCCCAGGCTCTTACCGTTCAAAAGTTTTGACCGAAATTAAAGTACGTAAACATCCAAGGTCAAAAGGTCAAAGTTGTTGGTATCTAATGGAAGGTCTTGTCACAAAGAATACATACTTGAAGTATGAAAGTCCTAGTTTCTATCTTTTAAAAGCTATGGCCAAAGTAAAAGTTTGGCATTTTAGTATAAAAGTGTGTCAAACTCCAAGGACAAAGTCAAAACTTAAAGGTCAAATTTGGTGGTACCCAATGAAAGGTCTTGTCACAAGGGATACACATGTGAAATACTAGTACGAAAGTCATAGGAAAATCAAAAGTTATGGGCAAGGTTAAAGCTTTTGTGGACAAACAGATAGATAGACAGACGGACGGACGGACACAACAAAAACTATATACCTTCGAATCTTCGATTACGGGGGAATAAAAAAACTGCAATATTAGAGAGGGAATACTCTATCTCCGACACTTTTTGGAGATGTTTATTCAGATAGGGAGTAAAAAATTCAAAACTTTTTTCTGTGTATATGTACATCGAAAAATGTAACAAAGATGGGTGAGCAAACTTGATGGTAAAGTTTGAATCTCAATTAAAACTTTTTTTTATTTTTTTTTTATATTTCATCTAACATTAACGTATACTTGAATATAATGGCAGTGTCCATGTTTTGCTATGGGAAACCCAAAATACGTGTAGGAGATGCACAATGGCAATATGTAATAATGATGCTGTGATGAAAGTTTCATCAAATTTCATCTAGTGGTATGAGAGGAGTTGCGGATAAGAGATGGGTACCCGAAAGCGTAACAGACGGACGGGCGGACAGACGGACATACCGATTACTATATACCCTCCCGCTTTTCAAGGGGGGGGGGGTATAAAACATCTACAAATTGCAAAAATCTTGTTTTATGAAATAGTATACGGTACACACAATAAAGAGGACAAAAAAGGTCATTATACCCTCCCCCCCCCCTTGAAAAGCGGAAGGGTGTATAGTAATCGGTATGTCCGTCCGTCTGAACGTCCGTGAAATTTGATGAAACTTTTGCAGAATCTTTATTACATATTGCCATTGTGCACCTCCTATTTTACTTTTTGATCCGACATATGGAACGCCAACACTGCCTTATAGCATACAACTATGCATTTATTATGTCAATTTATCATTACGTGATGTGAACATATCTTTACGTTATGTCAATTCTTTATGAGATTATGTAAAAATATCTTAACATCATGCCAATGCTGCATTACATGAAGTAAATACACCCTTTCATTATGTCAGCACTTCATAACTTGGAAGTCGAAAATTCATTATGTGAAGCGATAATGTGTTTACATTGTGGTAAAACTTTATTACGTGAAATGAATGTTTCTTTACATCATTTCATTTCTTTAATATGAGGTGTCAAAATTGCATTACGTCAAGTGAATTGTGTTTTATAATTAAACTTATCATTACATGAAGTCAAAAATCCATTCCTTTTCGAGAGTGTATATTTTTATTATATCAAAGCATTATTACATGATATGGGTTTATCTTTATTTTACGGCGAGAGCATCATGATGTGAGGTGAACACATCTTACCTTTATGTCAGTGCTTTATTACGTGGTGTAAAAAGTGTATGACATTATGTGAACATATCTTTATATTATATCAACACTTTATCACATTATGTCAAAACTCAATTCCGTGATGTGGATATATAATTACGTTATGTCAACTCTTTCTTATGTGATCTTAAAATATCTTTATATTGTGTTAACTCTTTATCATGTTGATTCCAAAAGTGCATTTCCTGATGTAAAAATACATTTACATTATCTCAAAGCTGTATATCTGGTATAAAATGAATGTTGACGACCGTGTTTTTATGACTGGTAAGAGGGGGGGGGGGTTCCTGATTGATACGGAAGAATTAGAGGCACAAAATATCAACCCCCCTCTTTTCCCAAACATAACTTTACAATAGAAAATGTAATGTTCATTGAAAGTACAGCCCCCACCCCCACTTTTTGTTGAAGTATATATAGTCCACTGAGGGTAATGTAGTATATATCTGACAAAAAAATTAGGTCTGATCGAAGTTGGACCCCCCTCCCCGAAATAGGATTTTCGGGCTTGGAGTAGACAATCTTTTTTTTTTTTTTTTTTTTGGCTTCTCAAGTTTTTTTTTCGGGCGAATATTTTTTTTCTGGCTAGCCCCCCCCCCCCCCCCTCCTTTCGAAAAAGATGATACGTCACGCACTGGAATTAGTAATTTTTTCAACTATTCCAGGGCCAGAATTCTATTACAAAAAATCTACCAATCCCTCATCTAAATCAATTGAATATGCCTTAGTAAGCATGCATGAACACATATCAGTAGCGGATATGAGAACCTTGAACAAAAAAAATTGTCCAAGCCTGAAGGGGGACGGTTTATGGTTGGAGACCAAGGGGGAAAGCAGAGAAGCTCTCAGGCTTTATAGTTTTATAAAAAAAAGTTTTCAACTTAATTCAGCTAAACTTAATGTGAAACTAATGCAATGTCCTACAAAGTAAAACCAATAAATTTATTAATCTTTTGTACATGTAGATTTTGATCACTAAAGATGGTAGGGCGGGATTTCCCCCTCCCCCCAACCCACCAGTGCACGTGTGTTATACGATGTGTTTAAACTTTTAAAAAAAAGGAAAGTTCAAGACTGATAAAAAAAAATTATGACAATGTTCTTAGTAAGATCAGAAGTTTAAGACTTTATCCAAAAAAAAAAAAAACAAACAAATAAACAAAGAACAATTCAAAATAAAAAGAAAAAAAATTGCTGCACGACTCATAATATTTGATTTATTTAATTATCAGATTAAAGTAAACGCCATTGAATTTCGACGTGACTTTAATTCACAGTCGCAGTGTTAAGGCTTTGCACGTTTCAAGATTGTCAATCCTTTGTCGCTTAGAATTTTTATTTAAAGATGCCATTCCCAAATCGCTGAGATTTCTTCTACGGCAATTTTCTCTCCCGCCAATTTTAGTGCTCTCGGAACGCGGAAAATACAATCGGAATTCCTCGGATGACTCGTACCTCGCTCATAAGGACCCGGACCACAATTAGCTTACATATAGACTTATATAGTAAAAACATGTGTTTTATTTTCTTTGTAACTTTTTAAAAAATCTTTACTTCCAAAATATCTTTGACCATATGATAGAGCAATGTGTCAGATAAATATTCACATCCAGAAATAGGGGTGTTGAATGTGGAATTCCCTGGTTATTAATTAACTTCTGACGTCATGACCTCAGGATAGCTCTCGCTTGGCAAAAAAAGTGTAAACAAAGCAAACGAATGCTCTTTGCAATTCATATTTCTAGGCATAATTTTTGCTTGAAATGCACCTTGCTGCATATCATTGTAAACTTTAGACACTATACTTTTATTCTATACCCAAAAAGTATATAAAACATGTGAGCTATTTTTATTTTTATCATTGAAAGGGAGGCATATGAATTTCCTACATGTGCTACATTTTAGGCATTTGACCTTCACCCTTTAATTGTGGCCCGGATCCACATAATGTTTGAATGGAGCGTAGCGGAGTCAGCCGAGGATTGCCGATTGCGGAAAATACGGTATGCTCATATAAAGGCCGAGGATACCCGTGTTCGCATAACGTAATAGTGAATCGACATAATATAGTAGTGTGAGTTAATATCATAAAGAATTGACATAATGTAATGATAGGTTAACACAATGTAATTGTTGTTTAATTAAATGTCATGAACAGTAAACATAACGAAATGCAAAAATGTGTAAATGTCTTAAAGTGTTGACATAATGTAAAGGAAGGTTTACACGATGCAATAGTAGTGTGGGATAATATCATAAAGAATCGACACAATATAATGGAAGGTTGACACAATGCAGTAGTAGTGTGGGTTAATGTCATAAAGAGTTGACATAATATAAAGGAAGGTTGACACAACGTAATAGTAGTGTGAGTAAATGTCATAAAGAGTTGACATAATGTAATGGAAGGTTGACACAATAAAATAATAGTGGGAGTAAATGTCATAAAGAGTTGACATAATGTAAAGGAAAGTTCACACAATGCTATAGTAGTATGAGTTAATATCATGTAGAGTTGACATAATGTAATAGAAGGTTAACACAATGTAATAGTTGTGTGAGTAACTGTCATATGGAGTTGACATAATGTAATTGAAGGTTGACGCAGTGCAATTGTTGTGTTCTGCTATAAGGCAGTGACGGCGTTCCATACGACACATATTTGGGTTTACCACAGCAGAACATTGACACTACCATTATATTCATATGGGAGGCGGGGGTATCATTTAGTGAGCTCATTGCAAACAGTACCTCTATAGTTTTCTAATACTATTGCATAATTATTTGAAATGAATGAGTCGTCGCTCCATGGCCTTGACTCAAGTCCAAGGTCACAAAGAATAAGATGTTTTAGATGAATAGTCCGAAGGAATATATGTAATACACAGATGGGGCTTACGTATTGCCAACTACAGTGTGTAACGACTTGACGCAAGGTGATTTTGGCAATTTCAAGGTCACTATCTGGGGAACAGTACCTTCTATTACTCTTTAAAATATTGCTTAAATATACTTAGAATGTGGCATGACTTTGACTCAAGGTCACTTCGTCCTTGTTTTCAACGAGCTCGACTCTAGTTATTTTAAAAATTAAAAAATATTTTTTAAAGCAAAGCTGAAATTCTGACAAAAATGGGTTAGCTAAAGATCCGTGAAGATTTTTTATGTTCAGGTGGTAACGGAATCATTTTGTCAAAATGAATTATATCTTTGAAATTTGTTTTGTTAACTGTTTTGAAACTATGCAAAAAATAAATCTTTTACATGTGTACTTTAATTTTGTTGTTAATTTTAAGCTAGGATCTGCAAATATCAAGCGCTAAATTCTCCTCACCTCCCCTGAAAGCTAGGTAAAAATATTAACGATGTTTATTTCATGACCATAATTAAATTAAACCTTGTTTTTTTTTCTGATAACGGCCGCTGATGAGTAACCTCTTAGAAGATACAGGTGTTATACCAGTTATAAGGAGTGGCAGGTAAAGAAGAGCATTCATTATTCGAGTATAAAATTCTACCAGTCATTCTGTCTGTCCAAAATTATGACACATGGGAATAATTAATTTGTTAGCGGCGTTTGCCATTGCATAATCCATGAATTAATTAAAATAGTCATATAAAACCAAGAAAAGGGAAAACAACGCACTTCATTTATAAAAATGACCATCAGAAATATTCTCCGCTGTGTGCTTTTTCTGTGTTTTGTGCATTTTTCCTGTCAAGGACCCATAGAAACCCAAATTAAGAACACGATTGATGAAGTGTATCAAAGTTGTAGATCGGACAAAAATCCTGGCATTGTTGTAGCAGTTGTTAAAGATGGCCAGGAAGTCTTGACGGAGACTTTTGGTGTCAAGGACAAAATTTCTAAGGAGCCCGTTACAAAAGATACGCTCTTTGGACTGGCTGGACTATCCGCTTTATTTGCCAATGTTCTCTTTACCAAGAAGAGTGCTGCTTTTGACGCGTAAGTAAAGAAGACAAATTCACGAGCCTTTATATTATTAATCAATCTTCCTATCTTCGTGCATGTGTTTACGCAGCTGATACAATGAAAATTACTTAAGTGACTATGTATGGACTGAACATTCAGTATATTTAGACATAATTTTCATGTTTAAGTATCAGTGTATAAGAGCAGGACATGTCCTAATTGATGACCTTGTCCTGTCTTTGAAGAATTATCCCCCTTTGATTTTTTCAATAAAAAATCAATTTTGAAAAAAAACTATCCCGTGAAAAAATAATTTTCAATTGTTTTTCTATTCCTAATGATCAGATTCTTTCCACCGGCCAGATCATTTATTGATATTCTTAGTATTTATTTGCAAAGATTTACCTTTTTTCATAGACTTAAATGTTTCAAAGAAAAATTATTGCTTAGTTAATAGAAATTTTGAAAATTTCTCTTTATAAATCCGTTTTTACTCCAAATTACTTTGAAATAATACATGTATCAATATATAAGTTAAATTCTAAAAGTGGGGTTGCAAAAAAAATAGAAATAAATAAATGTACGTGTGCTATATTTTCACATTAACAATCTATAATTCATTCTGCTTGTTTTGCCTCTAGAATGAAATGAAATCGAGCAGATTTTATTGCATGAATTTTTGATTCTGTGAATTATTTTGCGTGCTTTCGTGTATTTATTTCAGTTAGAACTCTATTTAATATATTCAATCATAATAGCCACAAAGCGTAATTAACTTGCACAGAGAAACTATTTCTATTCAGAATAAACGAAGACACAACTCTCAGAAACCTGTTTGGGAATAACAAGATCTTTAAGAAATCCAAGCTGCGTTCTAGATACGCAACAACACTGGATATAATGGCACATCGGTTGGGGATAAGGAATACTCCGTATCTCTTCCTGGACGAGACCGTCACAAGGGGTGGTCCTGTTATCGAGTAAGTATCAAACATTTCATCTTGAACGTAGGGGAATCTCTAAAAACTAATAGAAAATACTTTTTGGACTTAGAGAACAATATATCACATAAAGGTTTGCATATTGAGACTTTTTCATTCATTTATATCCACTGAATATTTTCTTCTTTATTTCTTAAGAAAAGCCATTGCGTTCATCACTGCATGAACTACATTAGGCATATCACCTATACAGATTTCTTGATCAGTGGCCGTTCCATCAATGAAACGTACAAAGACGTTCGCATCATTAACACAATAATTAATATTTTTAATCCTACTTAAAATGATAAGTTAAACAGATATAAATATAAACAATAAAATGTCTTTCTTTGTTTGTTATTACTGGAATGAACGGTCGCAGCTATTGCAGAAAAAATTTACATAACCCGGTTTCGTATTATATAATGTTAAAAATATTTTAGTCTAATACAAATTGTGTAATTATTTGTAAAATAATAACATTTTTTTTAAATCTTACTTCTAAGGGCAGATCACTCTAACTGCATAAAACTACCAGAGCTCTTTATTGTACAGTGTTTAGAGCTTCCTTAAGTTAAATCATAATTAATACCCTCACTGAAGTTTCCCCGACATGTTCTTTGATTTTTTCAAAATTCATACAATGCATAAATTTATTCTTTAAAAAATAGGGGGGGGGGATCTGTTGAACACATTGCACATTTGACGATTTCTTTAATATTTTCTTTTACTTGTGTGTACTAAAATTAAGTTCTGTAAATATTTGATAATTTTTTTTGCCAGTCGAATTGCTAGTATGAGAGCAAGGGGACGGTTCCGGGATAGCATGTTCTACAATGAGGTATTATACTCTATTCTGACCACCATCGGCGAGAGACTTGGGAGTGATGCCTGGGAACACCTGGTAGACGTAGAAATCTTCCAGCCTTTGGGAATGACTGCAGCAAATTTTACGACAATAGTGTCTCCCTCAACGTCTGACATTGCCCAGGCCTATAAAAATGACGAAGGCACACTTTATCCAGTACCACACGAATTTCTAAGGTCAGAATCTAAATTTGTTATCTACCGACAGACTGACAAAAATCGATGTAAATTACATCCCAGCTTTATATATAATTCCATCGGCATCGAAAGCAAGTTTTTTGACTTGCCTAGATAGCCGAGCGGTCTAGCGCGCTGTTCCTGCACTGCTAGGAGACAGATTCCGAAGGTCGAGAGTTCAACCCAGGGCTGGGGCGGAAGTGGTTATCCATGTAAAAGTGAATTTCTTTGTGCTTTCTATATTAATATTTCTTCACTTAGGGCAGTTATGTTAGTTTAAGAGTTGTTGTAAAATGTGCTTTATAAATAATAATTAATTTCATTACAACATGTATTGGTAACAATCCTCTGTTAAAACTAATGTCCAAATAACTGTATCTCACTTCAATTCTCAATGACCGTGTAGTGTAGGGCAGCGCCGCGAGAATCGAAAGCAAGTTTTTTGACTTGCCTAGATAGCCGAGCGGTCTAGCTCGCTGTTCCTGCTCTGCTAGGAGACAGATTCCGAAGGTCGAGAGTTCAACCCCGGGCTGGGGCGGAAGTGGGTATCCATGTAAAAGTGAATTTCTTTGTGCTTTATATATATATATATATATATATATATATAAGGAATGTTTTTAAGTTTTGTGTGAGTAATTGGTGTGTGAATCACACAGACTTGCACGTAGGCATATTTTTCATGAAGCGCTAGCGCGCTTCATGAAATATGCCTACATGACAAGTCTGTGTGATTCACACACCAATAACTCATGCAAAACTTAAAAACATTCCTTATATTTACATTTTACATGTTTTGAAGCACCAAAAAAATACTCAATATTTGAATTTTTCGCTGCTCTATATCGCTTTATTATACCTCTACTGTAATTACTCTATATAAAATTAATACCATAAAACTGTCTATTTCCCCGAGAAGAAACTATTTCCCTCATCCGAAGACTACTCCCTGGAAAATCAGAGCTACTCCCTGGAACTACTCCCTTATGAATATTTATTAGTAATTTTAACCAATCAAAGTGTTCGGTGGGCGGAGCGTCCAAGGAATGACGTCAAAACATTTCGACATGCGATGTCAAAAATCATACTTGAATTCTAGCAAAATGAAGACAACGATAATTCTTCGAAATGTCAGTGAAAATACTTTTTAAAAATAAGTTAATTGTTTTAGTACACGATGCATTACTTATAAATCATACAATCTATTTACCGCATGCTTTTGTAATTATGCCTCTACAGCGTTCTTTTTAAATGTCGGAATATCTGGGGGGAAAAAATTAAATAGCCTGTGATTGTTTCGGTATAATAAAACAGCAGGAAACTATTTCTCTCGGCGGCTTTGCCACCTCGGGAAATAGTTTCCTCCCTCGGGGAACCATAAATTTGCTATTTCCCTCGTACCCATTCCATAACTGTATAATACTTTTACTAACGTTGCTGTAGCCTTATTGTGACGTCACGTTAGCGCACGTTTCTCCGTGTATATTTCTACGCGTGAGTATACACAAAAATGACTTTCAAATCAGTTTCACAGTTGGCTTTGTAGAAAAACACAGCGAATGTAAATATATACATTTGCATTATATACGAATATAACTGAAGTGTTTCAAGGAACGCATGTATCGCCTGCTTTTAGCTTTTTTAAAGATGTAACTAAATCTAAGAGTGGTCAGCTATTTATATGCTACTAGCATATTCAGTATTTCATGCCAAAAAATCTAGCATAAAAGTTCATAAATGCACAAAAAAACCATCCATGCATAGTATATGACTGCGATGCATAAAAAAATATGTATCAAATGAATACTGTAAATCACTTTTTATTCGATTTATTTTCGCGTAATTACGTCTGTCATAATAGTATTCCTAAAAATATAGAGCAATAACCAGAATTCGTGAAAATTTTGTCTCGCTAATCAAGAGTCCCTCAAATGAATACTACAGTAATTAAGTTGAAATCATTATACTACGATTCTCAGTTAACCTTGGACTTTCAGTGGCATTCTCAACGTTACATAATTAGCGTGTGCACAGCTTTCATTCACTGTTGAAATATACACGCCTGCTAATCGATCAGTTGCATAACCAGCAGTTATACATAACAATCAAAAGAGATCGATTTCTGTTATGCATTTGAAACGAATAATTCCAGTACACAGGTAGTAAATTGACCCGATTCAGGCAATACCAGTATCGTGCGGAAAGAAAGTCTTTAAACAGACACAATTTATGACCTTGACCCTTGACCTTTTGACCTCAAAATCAATTGGGTTCTTTCTTAAGCCACAGGGAGTTGCTATGCAAAATTTCATTGCGACAGGGTTGTCGAGATATTGTGCGAAAACGAAAGCATTATAGACAGACAGAAAGACGGATGGACGGACAGACTGATGGACAGACGGACGGACCAAAATTAATATCCCCCCACTTTAAGTGAAAGCGGGGGACCAAAAAAAATGGAGAGGGCTACATTATTGCAGCTAATCCTAACCAATACCGTACTTTCCACCCTTTCACGGCTTTTTATCGCATAAAAAAGTAGATTTTTGATTAAATTTGAAGAGTGAAATTTAAATATTAATAACGGAAATTACATGTAGGCCTATTTTTTTCCAATTGTGATATATGTGGGAGAAGTCAATTTAAACACTGGCGTGAATATGGGGTTTAAAAATTATGTGCAAAATTTATTAATTCTATAAAGTTTTATTAGTTTACCTTGAGAATAAAGGGTATGTTGAATACAACCCGTGGACATCGCGATACACTCTTGAATAATTAAATTAAATGATTTTGGTTGCAATTTTTTTTTCCAGAAAGTGGACAAGACTGTGTGCCACCACGTGCGTCATGTCCAGTGTAAAGGACATGGCAAAATTCATGAAATTCCTCCTCGGAAACGGAACAATACCTGGTACAAGCAACATTTTACTCTCTAAGAAAAGTCACGAAGATCTATTTGATGCCTACAATCGTCTTCAAAACCCTAGCATTGAGGATTATTTCTTAACAATTAGAGGTCTCCCGGTCAGTAGAACACATTTTGCCTACGCTCAAGGAATAAAAAAAGGAATCTACAATAGTAAGGAAGCTTCTTTGCTAATATTTTTACATTAATCTGTGATTTTCAGTGCTTATTTGACGGGAGAAGGGGCACAGATATAGAATGTAATCGATCATTGAACAAAATTGCAAGATATCTTGTCACAAGATAAGATATCATAACGCGTGTTATTATCATATTGTGGGGTTTATTTTTCCGAACGCCTATGTCCAAGAGGCATAACTCTGTCAAGAATTGCTCGATCGTACCCAAAACAGAATTTGACCTAGATATTCTTATCATAAATCTATACCAAATTTCATTTCAGTATGTGCAACCTCTGCGAAGAAAATGAATTAAAGGAAACAGAAGATAATTTGAATGTTTCTAAATCCTAGGGGTATAACTCTAAATTGCTCGACCGTATGCAAAACAGAGTCTGCATGACCTAGATATTCTTATGATAAATGTGTATACCAAATTTCATTTCAGTAGGTGCAATTTCTGAAAGAAAATGAACGGAAAATGAGCGACTGACCGACAGACAGCAGCAAAGCAATATGTCCTCTCTTCCTCGAAGGGTTGGGGCATGAAAACGCAAAAAAATGAAAATTTTGAGAAAAAAAAATGTCTAAATAAAACATATGAAGATAACGAACAGTATTCCAAATCAGAAGTCTATAAAACAATACAAAATAGAAGCAGAGCAAACACGGTCCTCCAAAACATCACAGGTGGGATCAGGTGCCGTGTAGGAGTGAGCATGCCCTGCCGACCGGTCACACCCGACGTGTGCTTCTTGTCATGATCGGGAAATAACGGGAAAATCCGTCGTCAATTCAGTGTATAAATAAAGGACTAACAATTAGTATGAAAAACGTCAGTCAGCATTTGACTCAATGAAAAATTGTATTTGCTAACAAGGTCATTGTATCGACCATAGAACTTACGAAATGATGACTTTAAACGAGCTGAAATTCTTGTTGCGTCAACTTCTTTGTCAATAATTAACTCGTTGTAGAAATTGTTCATACGTAGAGCATGCTCTTGCGATTCTAGTCAACTGAGATATGTTAAATCCGTATGCAGGTGATGAAGGTATATTGCTGCATAAGTAAGGGTAGGTGAAGATAGAAAAGTTAAAGTCATCACGTTTATCATAGAGTTTGGTTGTTAGATTACCATTAACGTCTTTTTCAAGTAAAATATCTAAATATGAATCAGATTTTTCAGACCATGCGGTATTTTTCATCTCAAGCTCACCAGGATATATCATTTCGACATAAGAATGGAAATTACCATTGTTAATTGACATTACGTTGTCAATACATGTATATCTAAATGTCGAGTTGAAGGCCACAGCAAGTGTTTTCTTCTTTTCACGCATAAGATTTTGCACAAATTCTGCTTCATATGAATACAAAAATAGGGCTGCTAATAACGGGGCGCAATTGGTACTCATGGGAACTCCAATAGATTGTTGGGAGACCTGGTCTCCAAAAAACAACATAGATATTGTCAATCAGAAACTTAAGCATCTTTTTGATGTCGACTTCAGAGTACTTGTGTGTACAATCAGAATGTTTTTTAACAAAATAATTTTGCAAATGATCAATGAAAAGGCAAGTAAATTTTCGAGTTCCATTTTTATTGAAAAAGCAGCTGTCAATGATATCGAAAAGATTGCAGGGACTTTAATTTATCATGGGGAATGGTTGTGTATGAAGTTGAAAAGTCGTAAGTTTTTAAGCTGTTGATTTTGATAAAATCTTGTGATTTCAAATTGTCCAAAAGTTCCTTGGAATTTTTAAGTAACAACACTTCTTGAACATATTGTTGCACAGTACTCTTGAAGTTTCTCCTTCATTACTGTTAATATCTTAATGAGGAGTAAAGAAAGAAGTTGAACAATTACTGGAACCCACTATGTATCTTTGTTTTTAAGGATTCTTATGAAGTGTCGGAATGCAATATACGAGGACCAGTACGTACTGATCGTGTAATCTATCGAATTCTTTTTTTTTCACTTCTGGATTATTGAATATAGAAGGAAAGATGGTTTTCATATTTCCCCTCAGTCTTTTAATACGCGATTTTAACATGGATCTGATGCATGCATTTAATCCATTCTTACAAAGTGTCAACGTCTTCTTTTTCATACATCGCCCATCTCCTGGCGTCATCTTCAACATAATCCATAATATTTATTAAATTCCGACGCCAGTGGAAGGATCAGGGCTCCCTATATTTACGACCTTTTAAAATGAGTGATCTAAGGTCCTCGTTATCAACTATATTTACATCGCCTGTAATAATGTGTCCAGCAGGACTATAGGTATAGGGTGAGGAAGAACATAAACACGATGGAGGACATGTAGGTGTTAATATACAGTTGTAAAGTATATCATTGAGGGAAGTCGGTCGTGCCTCGGGAAATAGATTTGCTCTTGGGGAACTGGATTCTTGCTGACTCCCCCAATTATACACTTTAATGTTTTATTATACAGATACCAATATAAGGCTTTTTACACTATCCGTAACTGCAATTTTATTTTGAAGGCAATGCAATTATGAGGTGTGCAATGGAAATATTTATTAGTCAGATAGTAAAAATTATTATAAATTCAGTAGACAGTCTTTTCGTTTGAGTCATTGGTTAACATAAACATATCTTTTCATATGAATAAAAGAGATCGCTAAATAGAGGGACTATGAAGACTCCTCTTTAGTATGATTTAATATCATAATTGTTACATTAAATGAAGTTAGATCCATACGTGCACTCTATACAAATAACAAGCGAAAATATAATTTGCATAATTGAATTATTAATAGAATAAATGTGTTACTATTGAAGTCAAAAGAAAGGGATATTGTTTTGAATTCATTAAAAAGAAAAATATTCTTCCCTTGTTTTCAGACGAAAGAATACTTGAAAGTGCTGACGACATGTTTGGATACAACACTCTGTTGACACTGTTTCCAGATCATGATTTGGGCATTTTCATAGCAATGACTGGAGAGGATAAAGACGATCTCTTCCGAACAGCCCTTAGTAGTTACATCTCGGATCTTTACCTTGGTAAACAGGTTTGGCTGAACGCAACTCTTCTATGCAGCTTCCCTGCACCGTTCATGCCTGCTCCAGCAGAAGATACTCCGAAAACACACCCAGAAGTCCCGATTGGTAGAAATTTGGATGATTTTGTTGGTAACTATACAAGTGACATTTATGGAGCAGCAAGAGTAGTTAGTGACAATGGAGCTTTAAAATTTATATATGGCTTTGGAGAGTTTAATTTGAAAAGAGAAGAAACTAAGTCATTGAAGTTTAATATGTTTCCAACGGGATTGATTGAACATATGATTCCTGTGGACGATTTGCGGTTCAAAGAGGACTCAAAAACAAATCAGATCGAATCTTTGAAAGTAGACAGGTTTGATGGCGGTGAGTTTACAAGAGAAATGCCGACTCCACCTACAACCACCCCCGCCACAGCACAAACCCCAGCCTCAGCTGGCGGTTTAGCAATACCGCTCTAGTAGCTGCCAGGAACAATCCAGAATCAAATGTTTTACTTTCCATGTTCTGTTATATACTTGATTTAATTTGAATTATGATTTATTGCTATTACAGACAAAGTCTACAGTTTTATCTTAATAAAAGCAGTAAACCTTCTGTGAATGTGAATTTTGATACAGAACATGTCAAATTCAGCCCTGAACAAGCAAATTCAAAGAACTGTGGTCCCCCACTTTTGGTGTCTTTGTGGGTGAGATATCACCATTTATGGCATATTATGTCAAAGATGAATGCCTTATCCTATGTCATTCAAAATTTATCATCAACATTGATTTTTTTCAATTAGGTCAAACATGAAGGTCAAGGTTAAGGGGTCAGAAATCATTAATGGCATGCTCGGAAATATCTTGTCATAGGTAATGCACCTGTCAAATATGAAAGCCCTGCCTCTATTCAACAAAAGTTATCAAGAAAAAATGAAATTTTCGAAAATTTAGGTCATGCACCATGGTCAAGGCCACAAGGTTGGAAATCCTAGTATATTTAGAAAAGTCTTGTAACTAGTAATATACATGTGAAAGCCCAATCTCTTCTCATTCAAAAGTTGTGGCCAAGGTTAAAAGATTTGATAAGTAGGTCACATTTCAATGTCAAGAGGTCAAAATTCATAGAGTATCAAGAAAGGGCCTTGTCCATAGGTGCTTGGGTCAACGATACTGCATATTTTCTATATAATGTATTGTCGAGGAAATTCGAACTACATGTATACTCGTAACTTTTTTCCAGTGCGAAGTGTTAATTTTTAGTTTTTTTGTAAACTTTCTGCTTCTTATACACTATAAATGTCACGGAAATTTGATTTTATGCACGCTTTATAAATGACATATCCCACTGTATACTAAAAAGAAACAAAGCTTGCAACTTCATTTGCCCCTTTCCGTGCCCCCGACACGATTTTTCTTTTAAAAGTTATATGCACCACTTACCAGTTGAATTCCAGATAATTCCAGATATATAATTCTTATATAATGAAAAAGAAAAAAAATTACTTCCGTTTGGGGTTATAGATGTACGATAAAACCAGAGACCTCGGCATGAATACTCGGAAGTCTCTGGTTTTATCGTACATCTATAACCCCAACCGGAAGTAAATGTATCTTATAAGATGTCTTACTTTGTATCGAGGTAATTTTTGAAGAATAAATGAGTGGTTTACGATAAAGAGTTTCGACCAGAGACTTCTGAAATGATTCAATTGACAAGAATAGAGTCTTCCGAAGAGAACGATGTCATTTTAAAGTAGGTTAATGATAAATATATAATACAAAATACGAACTTGAAGCGGGGTGCCTGAAATTGAGTTAGGTACCTTGTGGTAAATATAAGTAGGGGGTACCCCGTATACGAAACAAGTACCAGAATTACATATTACGTTGATATTAACATAAAATAAAATGATAACAACAATGTCAACATTATACATTTATTGACTGAGTTCGAGGACAACATGCGTTTTGTCGGACCCAAGAACCAAACTGTCTGCCTGCATGATGCCGTTAGGCCGAAGGCAGACAGTTTGGTTCGAGGGTCCGAAAAAACGCATTTTTGCCCGAGAACTCGGTCAATAAATGTTTTGTTATACCTTTGATTTTATTATTATTTTTTTTATGTATATGTATTTTGTATTGTCTTTAATGAGATTAAGCTCCACCCATTCTGTGACGAAAGCTATCCAACATCTCACCGACCGGTTCAACATGTCACTCAGCGGTCAAATATCGATTTTTTATGCCCGCTCAACAAAACATTAGAAATGTTACACTTTTTATGGATAGATTTGTATAGGAACAAATTTTCAAAGGTATTACAATAAAATAGTGTTGTTTGCTTTCTCCAGACTCAGGATGAAAAAAATTGGGTCGGTAAGTTGGTGACTTTTTTATCTCAGAAAATGTGTGATGGTACATGTAAATCTTTTATAGAATCTGCAAATACTCCAGTATGTCTCCAGTGGAAACTATACAGTCTTTCTATTTTTAATATGAACTATTTGTTTGATACCAAAACTGAGAATCTGAAGACTGTAAATATGACATTATGTCAAATAACCTGAGGATTATCCGAGGGGCACCGAATGAACTATCTGAGTCTGCGTCCCTTATAGACTCAAGAGTGACACCTTTTTTATACTGGGCAATGCGTCTGCCAGTATTTTATCGTTATTCTTTGTGCTCATGAATGAATAGGTACCGAACGACAAATATCCTCGGGGGCAGACTACCAGTTCGGTGGTTAAAATGAAATTTATGGAGATAATGAACAGTATCCGAGCTCAAAAGTCCCTTAAGGACCCTCTCTACACTGCACCCTAATTTCAGGGTACTTGCGTGTAGTTAGACTGAGCCACCATTTGACATAAAAAAAAGAATAAATTGTAATCTGCACTGTATGACAAAATTTTAAATAAATACATGTATTCTAAACATTATGTTAGACCAAGATAGAGTAATTGAAAACTTTATTTGCGTGTATTTTCTCCATTTGAATAATCAAAAGCAATTTTTCTTTGTCATTACTTCACTGTCTTCAAAGATTTTTCCTTGATAAAGAAGGCACGCTCCCTATACTAGAAATGGATTAGTTTATTTCAAAATAGCCTCCTTTACACTATATAATTTTCTCAAAGTCCAAAAAACATTTTCCGTCAGTGTATAGAGGGTTCTTAAAAATAACAAAATAGGAGTGAAGCAATCATGGGCCTGCAAAACATCAGAGGTTAAATCAGGTGCTATGAAGGAGTGAGCATCCTCTGCCAACCGGTCACACCCGCCGTGTGCTCCTTGTCATGATCGGGAAATTTATAACGGAAAATTCGTGGACAAGCCAGGACAGCCCAGGCGCAGTGGTAAGAGGGTTGGGCCACAGTGGGACGATCAATGTTTTACATAGGAATATATTGAAAAATCTTCTTCTCAAGAACAGCAAAGCCACGATTTATCATATTTATATGGAAGCATCCTCAGGTAGTATAGATTCAACTTTGTTCAAATCATGACCCCCGGGGGTAGGTGGGGTCACACTGGACAATCAAAATTAAACAAAGGAATATATAGGAAAATTCTTTAAAAATCTTCTTAACAACAAGTCGCCCGTGTGATGCAGTGGTTAGAGAGTCTGTTCTAGAGTCACGAAGTAAGGAGTTGATCCTTACGTCGCGGGTTCTAATCCGACTGTGGGACGTGGAGACCGGTCCTTCGAATGAGACCGTATAAAGCGAGGTCCCGTGTAGGTGCTGTCACGAAAAGATCCCTTAATATTCAATGGCCCTGAGTGCCGAGTATAGGAAAAAATTTGCGGCTATCTCCTGGCAAGTGGTGGCGTGGCGTCTCCATATGAGTGAAAAATTCTCGAGAGGGACGTTAAACAACATACCAACAAACAAACATACATGTAATATTAATTTCGCACAAGAGGTTCCTTATATTTTTCTTGTGTAAAAATAAGCTGCCGAATGTAAAAGGCAGTGATTCTTGCAATAAAGTTCATAAGTAGTAGTACTAATCAAAAGAGAAGCCTTTCGGCTTCTGTCGAAATATATTAATATATGTAACAAGCTAATAAAATGCCTCTATGTTCCCCTCTTATGGAAAAAAATAGAACAAGCGCGGTTCGGGCGTTGGGGTCAAATGGGGGGGGGGGGGCACACTTTAAGAAGGGCAGGTGGGGCCATAAGGAGTTATGGTATAAAATTTCATTTCAAAAGCTTAAGAGCCTCTTCTAATATCGCCCGAAAATGAAAGTTTTACACACACAGAATTTATGAATTTACTACCTCAACCTTTGACCTTTTGACCTCAATATAAATAGGGTCTTTCCGAGGCCAAACGGAGTTGTGTAAAATTGCAAAAGCTAGAAAATTTCTTGAGATATCGCACGGAAACGAAAGTTTTACAGAAAGACAGAAAAACGGACAGACGGGTGGAAAGACCGATATTTATATCGTTTACTTTCAGTGAAAAAGGGGGGGGGGGTATGCTTAAGACACAAAGGAAAAGTCAATATGGTTCCAGACTTCGTTTGAGGAACATATATAACTGCTCGAGGAACGTTCGTAATCCTGAGCAGTGATTTGACGAAAACACTCAAAACAGGACACTAGTGTGCTTAAATACTGTATTTTACTTATTTTGTAACTGAAGGTCTTTTTTTTATTATAAGATTACCTATTTCATTTGACATATAATAACAAATTTAAAATATTAAATAGGATATTCGCAGTAAAACATGCAGTGCAAAACCAAAATGGGGGCCATAAGAAAATAACTAATCACTGTGTACTTTCTAACCGCCATCTAGATACTTTTACGTTTGTAGTCTTTTTAATTTTTATTTTATTTCTATTTATAATCTTTTCCATCTACGTCGTACATGCATTATTTGACAATTCTCTGGCTATTTATCAAATAAATGTACATATGAAAATTGAAAACATATACTCGCCTATAAGTCGGTTGTGTTTAATAAGCTTATATATCAGAGGGACTGACCTCATATAATACCATTCATTTTATAGCTCGCATATAAGTCGGATATAGAGTTTTGGACAAGAGATTAAATCCCAAAAAATCCGACTTATAGGCGAGTATATACGGTAAGCTAATTTTATCTGCTTAATATTCTGCCGGCTGCCACATCATGTTCTGGCGGAGGAGGGGGCTCCGCTTTTTTCCAACCGTAGCATTTTGCTATTGAAAATGTTGAAAGAATAGTTGCTCACTCCCTCATTTTTTGCTGTATTACCGTTCAGTCATAGTAATTTATTTGGTAATGTTTTAGAAAATGATTAAAATGAGTGAAGTAAAACCCCCCTCCACCATCAAATAGGAATTCTAATTGTGAGTCCCCTACTTTTTGCTTGTCAAAGATTTTAAAGATGTCGAACAATTTTTTTCCCTGGTTACCCCACCCCCTTCTTTCAAAAATGTTCTTAAAAGTCCTGGTTGTCCCAACCCATACAGGGAACACAATTATTTGGCGGTTATGGTTGGCCATTCCACTGACAATTATAAATTTTTACTCCACTAAAATTATTTTTACTGCAGTAAAAATAAAACACTGGCCATTGCTACTGGCAATTTAATATTTTTACTCCAGTA